AAAACCCAACGAACATTACAAGCCTAATTTTGTTATACCTTAATTAATTATATGTGTGAAATGTTCTTAATAAATGTTTCTTCGCTTCTTTCAAAGTGAACTAGTGATCAACAAAATCAAACTACTAGTAATTCACACTACTGTAAAAATATATATAATGATTAATATACAACATGATCGATAGTGTACCTGTTAGAAATCTTTTAATTGCTTTTAATACTTCAAAGGCACAAATAATTGTTTTTTCCCCACTTCATAAACTTTATGTTTTGACATCATTAATTCACATCGCATTTTTTTTGTCATATAAGTTGTTTAATATTTGTCTTAGCTTCAATAGTTCATAAGTCATTAGAGTTTAGAGCCATTACCTAAATTCAATAATCATATTATCTCAAAAAAAAGTATCGAACTACTATACAGTTTTGTATTACAAAATAATAGTTTATTTTATCAAGTCTTTTTTATCAATTGAATACTGGATTTTAATCGCAGATAAAGTAAATGAAAAAGTATAAAGTCAATATTTTGAAGACAAGTCAGGAGACAACAGTAGTGTATATTAATGCATCATTCTGTATCAACTACGTGTAATATTCCGATGCAATTCCGTGCAAAAGATCACGTCAGCATTGTTTAGAATTTGATGCGCAATGTTACTACAAAGGAAACATGATATTACATTTCGATGAATTCTTAAACAATATCTGTACAAAATATTGCAATTTTCATTATTAATAAAATATATCAGTTAATATTCTTTTGAGTTATTAAGTTAAGCTGCGTTTAAAATTTATATTATTCATCGATCAATTTATATTTTACAAAATTTATTCATAAGTTGTCTTTTATCTGATAGCAATAAAATAAAGTTCCTCTTTTTCATTCGTTATGTTAAGTATTTTAGAACCAAATAGATAATTAAAGTAATCACGCAAAATAATAAGGATATGAATATACAAACAGCACTTGCTTTCTATTGAGAGTGTTCCATCTATTAAATGAACAAAATGAGTTAAAAATAAAAAATAGTAAAAATATATGATTGGTGACTAAAGTTATTATATTTTTAATTTTATGAAATTAGAATTTTAAAAGATATAAATACTTAATTAAAATCACTCACCTTAAAATATAATCATATAATTTGCATTTTATACAGTAATTATTTTGTAGATACATCAAGCATATTTTTTACATTACAGTCTCTATTAAATTTTTTTTTTATGTTTTTTGAAAATAATTCCTGTTTTCTGGTACGTATCTTCTTTTTGTTTTCCTTGGTTGTTACGAGTTTTTGAAAATTGTGTATATATCTTGATAATGTAAAATTTCCTTTGTGAACACCATTGCGTACTTCAATTTAGATCTTCTCAACCAATATTCTTCTTATCCGGAGTGAAAAAGTTATTTCTCTTATCCTCTCTTCTCCTTTTTGATGCATCTTTGCCTTTTGATTTTATACTTCTTATGTTTTAATTTTATTTTATAACTATTTATTCACAATCATATAAATTTTTGATGGCTGGCTCTACACGACTTTAATTAATTTTCTCAATCCGGGAATGTGTCATATGTTCATGTGTCATAACTTTTATTTAACGATTTTTTATGTATTTGTTATAATTTTACTATCGGTGGCCAGCCGGTGCGCGCGGCGAGCGGAGTCGCGCGCGCACCGACTGGCAGGGTCGCCATGTAATGTTGGGAGGTTCGAGGAATAAATTAAACGTCTAGCGGTCTTGAATGTAGGTTTATTACTAACTCTAAATGTCTATTAGGCTATCATATATATAGCTACATGAGCATACACTAAACACACACTACAATATGGTGCTGCTCAGTCCCTCGATTAAACGCTTGAAAAAATTAATTGAAATCTGTGAAAGATATGCGGAAGAACATAACTTAACTTACAACTCCAAAAAGACAGAAATAATGATTAGAGATCAGGGAAGTTACCTCAGAGCGTGCCCGAGATTCGTCTTAATGGAAAATCTATTAAGATAATAGACAAGTTCAAGTATCTTGGCCATATTGTTACTTCAGACTTAAAAGATGACACGGACGTGGAACGTCAACGTAGATCTCTGTGTGTAGTAGGCAATATGATTGCGCGAAAATTCTGCAAGGCGTCGTCGGACGTGAAAATTACACTGTTTAGATCTTTCTGCCAAGCGTTTTACACGTGTCAACTCTGGATAGACTATACCAAGAAAACACATGATAGTATACGGGTAACTTATAATAATATCTTTAGACTTCTAATGGGATTTAATCGCTATTGTAGCGCCTCTGAAATGTACGGACTGGAGCGGTCCTTCACGGAGTTCCAGCCTCCTTAGATGACCCGAGAAGCTGACTGGGATTAGCCCGTTTGCAGAAACAACTACAGGAATAATTTCAGTCGGTAGACCACCCCACATGTCGGTCACCTCGTGAGCCAGGTCCAGATATTTTGTTCGTTTATCTGTTTTGGCTTTCACGAGGTTCTCGTCATACGCAATTGTAATGTCGACCAAAAATAGCCTAGACTGTGCCCGGTCCATCAGCACAATATCAGGCTTATTCGCAAGAATAGTCCTGTCTGTGATGATGGCCCGGACGCAGTAGTACCTGGCGTGATCATTTTCGAGCACGATTTCTGGCAAGTACTTGTAAGACGGCAATTTCCGGTCCACGAGACCGTATTTCAGAGCCAGCTCCTGGTGAAGAATTCTGGCTACTAGGTTGTGCCTGTGCAAGTACTCAGAGTTAGAAAGAGCCGAACAACCGGAGATGACATGCGTAAGTGTTTCGCCGGGATGACGACAAGCTCGACAGATGTCAACGGTGCCATTTTTTAGGATGTATCTCCAATAGTTGTTGGTCATAATAAACTGATCCTGTATTGCACAGACAAAACCCTCGGTTTCCCCGAAGAGGTCACCAAAGCGTAGCCTGTGAAGGGAGGCTACTGTGTCTACGAAAGGCTCATGTAGAGCCTTGTAGAACATCCCCTGGAGCTCCTCCTCCTTCCATTGTCTTGCCCAGGTCTTGTCCAGGGTCTTGCCATTGCTCGTTGGCTAAGGATAGAGGAGTAAGTCCTTTATCACAAAAATGACGTCCTTATAAAATGGATCATCCCATCTCACCAGGAAGTAATTACGAAGGCTGCACACTGCGCGATTATGCATGATGAGCGCGCTCAAAAAGCCACGCACATCATGCTTTCGCGGCAAGTACAGCCTCATTACCGACGATCTCGTATGATGCATCCTATGGGACGTCATAGTAGTGCGGACTTTTCTATCCAGGGCGTTAAGTTCAGTCTGAGTCCACCAAAGTATGCGCCAAAGTTATACATGAGGACAGGCATGACCCAACCGTTATATGCGTCTCTCTTATTCACACCAGACACAAGGCTGTTGAGCACTTTGGTGTGCATAAAACACGTCGCAAACTAACTGTTTCATACCAGCCTCATCGATACCGATGTTCTGTGATACATCCAGGTATCGGTATGTTCAGCCTTGGAAAGGGTCCTTAAACTGATGGGCATAGATAAGTCTATGCCCTCAGAGTTAGCAACCCTTCCGCTTTAAACATGGAGGACTGCACACTTATCCGTCACCAGCTCCATTCCAATAGAATTGCTAAATTCACAAATGATGTTTAACAATTCCACAAGATGGGATCGACTAGATGTGACTAACTTGAGGTCATCCGTATAGAAAAGGTGGGTCACTTTTGTACCTCCTTTTCGAAGCTGAAAACCCCTCCCGGAGCCCTTCAGTAAAGTACTGAGAGGGTTCAAAGAGAGGCAGAACCAGATTGGACTCAGACAATCGCCCTGGAAGATACCCCTTCTTATCCTTATGTGGTTTTCCGCAGCCATCATCCGCTCGCCTAGATGACAAAGAATCGTACTCCACTGCCCCATACACTGCTCGAGGAAGTCTCTAACTGTACAGTCTATCTTGTACAGCTCGAGGACTCTCTTTAGCCATGTATGGGGCACCGAGTCGAATGCCTTTCTGTAGTCTATCCAGACGGCGGAGAAGTTCCGAAGGTTGCGTTTCACCACTTTGCCAATGACCGCGTCAATGAGAAGTGGTTCCTTAGTTCCACGACCACCGCCCTGACATCCATTTTGAGCGCGCGACATAACCTGATTTGAGTCCAGGTGACGAGTGATTCTCGCGCTCAAAATGAATGTTAATTTCTTGTATATAGTCGGTAGACACGTGATGGGTCGGTATTTGCTCGGGTCTGTGGTATCCTGGTCTTTAGGAACCAAACGAGTGATCCCTGTTGTGAAGAGGCTAGGGAGCAACTTCTGGTCGAGAGCCCCTTGGAACTATCGGGCGAGCACAGTTTGACCCTTCAGACAGTAGTGGTGCAGCCCGTCGAGTCCCGGAATTTTCCAGTTCGGGGCCCTACGGACCGAATCAGTTACGTCAACCGGCGTTATAATCACGGGGTCCATGGGTATTATACTCGCACACTGACTCGCCACAACTTCCGTCCAAGAGCCCTCGCTGTGGTTTACGGGCTCTGACCACAGGCCGTGCCAGAATGCTACTGTGTCGGCCTGATTCGGTGCTAGGCTCGTTCCTCTTACCATTGATCGCTCCAATGATCCATAGAGCCTCTTCTGATCACTCTGGAAGAGACAGTTCTGGTTAAACCGTGTCTACCTTTCGGTATATCGCCGAATCCGCTTTCTCCAAGCAGCGATTCTTTGCTTCAGATCATCTATGCGCTCCGTCAGTTTTTGCGTTATATCCGGCTGGGATAAACTGACATTTGTCCCAGCAAACGCTATCCTCACGGTGCGCACAATTCTTGGCCTGTTATTGCCTGATCTGAAGCATATCAGTCTGCCGATGAGAGCTCTAGCCTTTGCGATACGTTCCTCAATTCTTCTTCTTCATGCTGGGATAGCGCTACTTTGGCCAGTAGCGCGTCCAGCCGTGGAAACCTTGGCGCCTATGATACGGTAGACTGCCAGCGCGGCGTCAAAAAGAATTGAGTCCGTCTCGCAAAGGTCCCGGCTGCCTTCCGAATAATTCACCAGCATTGGGTTCAGCCCTCACGAAAGCCCGATTCCGCTTACTTAGGGCTATGCGGGGAAGTCGCGGGCGATTTTCGAGAGGCGTACTGCGCGTTTCCACAATCGCCTCTTCAAATATACTCCCCATATGCTCTAATTCCAGTTTCTGGGCGACTATTCCAACATCGTTTGAATCAACCACAACTGGAGTATTCACGGCGGCATCCACGTTTGCGGATTTCTCTACAATTTTTGGCGCCGCATCCCCAGCCGTAGCATTTTCATCCGATGAAGAAACAGCCTCACCTCGTAGCCGTTCGTCTTCGGCGACATCAAATATATTTGAGCGCAATATTAAATGAAATGTTACAGTGTTGGCCTGATTTGGTGCTGGGCCCGTTCCACTTGCTCCAATGATTCATAGAGCCTCTTCTGATCACTCTGGAAGAGACGATTCTGGTTGAACCCAGTCGATCTCTCGGTATATTGCCGAATCCGCTTTCCCCAATCAGCAATTCTCTGCTTCAGATCATGTATGCTCTCCGTCAATTTTTGCATTATATCCGGCAGCAAACGCCATCCTGACGGTGCACACAATCCTTGCTCTGGTATTGCCTGACCTGAAGCATATCAGTCTGCCGATGAGGGCCTTAGCCTTTGAGATACGTTCTTCAATTCTTATTCTCCAGGCTGGGATAGCACTACTTTGTCCAGTAGTGCGTCCAGCCGTGGAGAGTTTGGTGCCTATAATACGGCAGACTGCCAGTGCGGCGCCAAAAAGAATTGATCCATCTCGCAAAGGTCCCGGCTGGCTTCCCAATAGGTCACCAATATTGGGTTCAGATCCCTCACGACAGCCCGATTCCGCTTGCTTAGGGCTATGTGGGGAAGTCGCGGTCGATTTTCAAGAGGCGTACTGCGCGTTTCTATAATCGCCTCTTCCAATGTACTCCTCATTTACTCTAGTTCCAGTTTCTGAGCGATTGTTCCATCATCGTTTGAATCAACCAGAGCTGGGGTATTCACGGCGGCATCCACATTTGCCGTTTGCTCTGCAAGTTGTGGCGCCGCATCCTCAGCCGTAGCATTTTCACCCGATGAAGGAACAGCCTCACGTCGTAGCTGTTCGAGTTCAGCAACATCAAATATATTTGAGCGCAAGATATACCGAACTCGGTCTGCCAGGTTTTGCTCGGTGACGGGTATAGATGGCTCCAGCTCAGCAAAAAGACGATGCATCCTAGCCCGATATGCCAAACCTCCTACTTCTCCCCCTTTCGCCCTAAAATATGTCCGCAGTGCGTTGGTATTCATTTTGATTGTCTATCACATGCGGCGTACTCCACCAGTGGCGGGTGCCAATTGCTGGCCCCGCGAATACCCTGCCGACACCAAGCCAGATGGTGGGGATGATGGATGCGAGGGGCTGATGGGTGGTCGTGCAGCACCTCTCGCTCGGCTGGCGGTTCGCATGCTGTCGCATTCATCACCAGTTCCAGACGCGCCCCGGCGACCTCCAGGCAGCGGCCCTTTGCGCGTTTTTCCGTATTCCATCATCCATATAAGTAGGCGCCATTTAATGGGAGACGCCCAGACTCGGCGCCGTTTCATGGTGGGGCCATGTGCATAAGAGGGCCTTTGCACCTTCATGTTTTGCCGAGGCACGGCACTTACACCTGTTGGCAAGGTGCTGACTGACTGCGCTGACGTAGCGGTTTTGTCACATAACTGTTACGACAGCGGGCAATGGGGTCGTCACTTCCCTACGTCTTTTTATTATTTATAATTATTACTCTATATATTACTACTATACTTTATTACTCTATATTACTCTTTATTATTATTATTATTAAACCCCCATATTGCCCTCAATATTTTAAAGTATTGTCTCTTTGTACCTGAATTTACATTTTTAATATACTCAAGTCCAGTCTGGAAATGTTCGGATATTTTAAAATATCATGTGCCCATTGAAATGTTAAAGACAACAAACTTATCTAGATAGGTTAAATATAACAAGAATCATTCTTTACACAGTGAATATAAAAGGTCTGCTAACCATTTCTAATGAATGATACTGATATATATCTAAAAATACGATATTATAAAATGTTATGCAATGAATGTATCTTATAATAAACGTAGTCACATAGGTAGCAACATGTGTCACGTAGATAGGAGTGGGAAAAATCATAACAACACTAATAACGATTAAAATAATGAGTAGGTATCAGAAAATACATGCGAAAATGATAATAGTATTGTTAGATAGATAAAATAATAAATAAATAACAGTAAATAAAGTAATAAAATAATTAATAGAGTTAAACACGGACAAAGAAAATTGACTGATAAGAATGTTATCACCTTTGTACAAAATTAGAAAGTATGTTATTGGTGTGAGGAATAGAAGAAAGGAATCTTTGAACGTGTGAATACGAATGATTTAGTTGCTAAGTTTCTTTAATATTGGACTGACTACCCAAATATTGATAATGCTTAAACTCCTGGTATGAATTCGTTTGAATGAGCCAGAATAATGCAAGTTAGTATATGGAAGTGAAGCTCAAAAGTGTTTAAATAAAAAATAAGGTAATGAATACATAAAGAAAAAAATCACTATTAAAAAATGAAAAATATTTAAATTTGGAACGCTACAATGACGTGTCGGTTTAACCTCAGCGTTGCTTCTTTCGAGGGAACATAGTAAATATAAGTAATATGATATAATTGGTCAAAACCTGATGCCTTAACTGAAAATGTACTTAAAAGTTGTGTTCTTAATCAAGACTGTGGTTTGTCATACAAAATTAATATTTGTGTTGGTAAAAACGATAAAAATTCTATAGCTGTTACATCAGAATTATATATAACATTAAAACAACTAAGAAACCATACTGTAGTTATTTTTAATGCTTTAAGCAGTAGATATTTAAATACGGGGATATTAAATTCCAATGTTATTAAAGTATGTAGTCAATATAAAAACTATTATTTTATAAGAGAAAATTCCTATTATAAAAATCTATTCTACATTTGTAAAAAATTAACTATATAATTGATTTTATAGATTATGATCAACAATTTTTAGATTATTCCCAACTAAAAATATTATTAAACAGCATTCAACAGTAATTAAATGTTCTGAATTAATTAACAAAATACATAATAAAGGTACAATTCCTTACTATTTCGCAAACAAAACAAAACATAATATTTTAAATGAAAAAACTTGGGTATAATTTGATAGAATGGAGTACGACTGACATTAAGGAACCTATAAAGTTCAAAAAAGGAACTATCCCATTTTATTTTCCAATCTAGAAAAAACTAGTTTATTTTGAAATTAAGGCATTAGAAATCTGTAGAAACAGTATTTTAATAAATGATAAAATACATAAAATAAGAAGTCCTATACGTTATTATTTCACCAAAACATAGCAGGATTACTAGGAAAATTAGAATTACTTGAGGCGTGCATCGCAGAATTTAATTTCTTTAAAGAACCAATAGGCGTGATTTCTCTAACAGAAGCATTTGTAAAAAATGGAGATAAAGAAAACTTAATTTTTAAAAACATTTAAATGGCTGCCAATTTCTCAAGAAAACAATCAAAACGTGGTGGTGTGTGTATTCTTGTAAAACAAAATTACGATTATCGTATCTTCGATTTTTTACAACATTTTACAAAGGAAATTGAGTTTGAATGTTGCAGTATAGAATTGATTGAACAAAAATGCATCATTATTTGTATTTATAGAACACCAAACTCGGAAAACTTAAACTAAACTTGATGCTTTATTACATAGGCTACGTGAAAACTAAACAAAAAATTATAGTTGCTGGCGATTTTAACATAAATATTTTTGCGCGTCATAATTAATGCCCGGTATATGGCGAGTGATTATTAGCGTCACCAAGTATCAAGTAACAGAAATAGGAGCGTCAAGATCTTTCTAGAACTTTCCTACTAGCGCCATCTAGTATCGAGTGGTGAGGGCTTTCTGGAAGATTCTTTGCTAGAACTTTCGCCATCAAAAAGGTCCTATATAAAGTCGGTAAGTAGTGCCACCGGGGCAGTATTCCGAATTGACGACTCAAGCGAAAACTTCGGAGCGAAATTAAGACTCATATAAGTGAATTTTTGTTCTTTTAATGTAACCGATAAAGGAAATGGGAGTGTTGAATTTGTTCATTGTAACTTTAATCTGCATGCCTAGGAAAAAAATATCTCCGAGAGTCTGCCAACACGCACTGGAGTACCGCAGCGATGAGATTGCTTCATAACCCTCCTAACAAATGAGATGACTGTAAAAAGCAGTGGAACGGATAAACATAGGTTGTAACTTAACTTTACTATTACACGGAAACACACCTATCACTTACCAGTATTATAAAGTATATCACTGTTTCTGTTCCTTTCTTTTCTTTTCAAAAACTTTACCCTCACACTAGGATTTTCTCATGTATCATATAGTTTACATACATAAATTTCACAAGAATAAACATCCAGATACGGTACAGTTATTTACAGGCCATATAAGTACTTGCTCCGTACGGGATTCAAATCCGTGGCCCTTAGCGCTATAATTTATTGCTAAACCACTGCGCCACGGAGCTATCTAACTATATACATACATCTGACTATCTATCTCATCTTCAACTCTATTGTAAAGTATTCAATGTAAGGTTTTCAATGAACTTTGTTACGAACAGGATAAAGCTGTATTAAAAGGAAATACATTTGTTAGGGAGCAGCTTTTACAATCAGCGTATCGTATATATTATATTTTAAATGAGGAAACTTTCACAGGAAATGTGAATCGTTGTGGTCGCTATACAGCAAAGTTGAATAGTTTTATTAGTACGTTTCTACAAATACAAATTAAAAATTCTCCACACGTGGAGGCGGTGTAAGAAATTCAATCATCCCATTTTAAAGACAAATAATTCGTACACAAGCCAAACCATAAAAAAAGAAGAAGAAATGAAAAGAAATATAGTTTGCCATCATATAGTAATAATAATGTCATCACTCATCATAATTTTTGCAGAGAAGGTACAGAGGCGGACATCACGCTTCGAGGCTGTCTCTACCAGTCAACTTAAACAGGGTACATTATTTTGGAGAAAAGATTAAATGAAATTTGTTTAATATAGGTAATGAATTACATTACATTGTGCTTTTATCTAAGAACAACATTTTTCTCATCAAACATCAAAATAACACACAAACATCCCTAATATAATGAACGTATACGGATAGATCATATTTTTTATAGCAGATATCCGTGGATACGATCTGAGCGTTTGACTGCTTACGGCTTTACGTGCTTTTAGAGTCACCGGGCTGAAATGCTGGCAACAGCATGACTCCGAGCTGTTATTGAGAGATTCTTGAAGAAAAACTCAATCACTAATTTATTTTAAAAGTCTGAACTCGGTTCACTTTTTCAGCAGTCACGCTTACGGTCACTGGAATAACGAGGTATTCATTATTTTTACATGTTTATTTTTAGGATTACTATAAATGAAACTATTTTTTTTAAAGTCTGGGATAGTTATCTACTAAAGCAGGGCCTATAGGCTATGGCCACAGCATCCCCTTAACATGAGGTAGACTCTGTACTCGTTTGTCACAGTTACTTCTATAAAAAAATCATAGCTAACATATAGACCGATAAAATTCAAAAACCATTTTTTAAACAATAATTTGGTACAAGTTTAAACGTGACACTAAAATAACTTTAGCAGTCAAAAAATACAAAAACGTGTAAAAGTGTAATTGCAGCGGTCTTGCAACCCTGATGAAAACTTGTAAAAGTAGATTAAAACATTAAAAAGGATTTTTCCGTTGGAGCCATTGACATTTGTATTATGCTATAATTATTTAAAGCTTTGCGAAAATGGAAAATGGCAGTCACAAAAATCGCAACGGTTTTAAAATTTAGATAAGACAAAGAATTATATGTATAAATATTATATATATATATATATATATATATATATATATATATATATTATTAATAAAAAATTTAACTAAAAATAAAAAGTCCCAAGAGTTTGAATTATTGGTATTTTAACCAAAATTCAAAAAAGTTTCTTCTTGATTGGGTTATACTTTAGGGGTGATGCAATGGGGTGCGAAGTCAGAAGTCCTCCACGTGTGCCTGGTAGTTGCGAGTCCCTCTCGATACGTCTGGAGGGAAGAGCAGCAACTGGGCCGGTGCACCCTGGGCGCGGCGGTAATCTTCCTCGAGAAATGAGAAGAAATTCTTATTCCTTGGGGAATGTTGCTGCCGCGGCTAATTATT